CCCCCCCCCCCCCCCCCCGTGTTCACACACTTTCAGGAGTTTTGTTTTTACAAGGTCGGCACTTATCCCATTCACTGAGCCCTCTTTATAGCACCACCCTTGGGGAGGGGAGGGCAAGCAATGTTAGTGTTATAAAGAGGTAGTATTAATGTTGTTGGAAGCCAAGGTACAGTAGCCTAATGCTAAAGCATTTTACAGAGGAGCTTATAAAGAGATTGGAATATATATTTTAGAATAAAGCAAGACAAAAAAAAAAAAGACAATGCCGATTCCTTTCAACGTGCTTGTTTGCTCTGTGGGATTCACATCAGCATAACTGATCAAACACTTCGACATTCAGATCAGCCCACCACAGATTTGCGTACAGGTTTTTTCCCCACAAAATGCTGACTGTTATTTCAATCTGTCCTTTAGACAAAAACATTACCAGGTCAAAAGCTTACCGAGCGTAAGAAAAAAATACTTCTCAACGGAAACTGACAATACTAGAGTTCAACTTACTGTGGAGTTGTCTTGGCATTTGTCACCTTACATTATTCGTCAAAGGAAATGTGTTTGCCAATTACAATCTTTCCTTAGATTTAGTGGTGGACTTTAGCCTCTTAATAAATGTTAGTATATCGGATTGTGTCCTTGACAATATTTTACTTGTATGAACCATGATAAAACATTGAAATCTTCACATTCTTCCGGCAAAAGTGTCAATTCAAGAGAAAGAGAAGCATAGCGTACAATAGACGTCAAAACAAGATTCCTTTTTAGCTTTCTCATGAAAAGTTAAAATGTTTACAGTGTATGCCAAGATCTTCGGTTTCTATCTAACAGCGGTTAGAGGGTCTAATCTTACCGAAATTGTGTTATAACGGCCTGAGCCTTGTTGCTAGGAAACAATAGATTCCAATTTTTTATTCCTGCTCTAACTAACTCCTGTGCTGAATAGTGACTGGATACTGTACAGGTTTATGTTATATGGCTGCAGTTTAATGGTCTGTTGCATTTTGCTCTGGTTTTCAGACCAGAAGCATGCATTTTCTACAAGAGCATCACAACAACATGCTGTAAATAGTAAAA